GCTCAGCAGGGTGGCAGGGCTGTCCCTGTGGGCAGGGGGGGTGTCCCACGCTCAGCAGGGTGGCAGGGCTGTCCCTGTGGGCAGGGGGGGTGTCCCACGCTCAGCAGGGTGGCAGGGCTGTCCCTGTGGGCAGGGGAGGTGTCCCAGGCTCAGCAGGGTGGCAGGGCTGTCCCTGTGGGCAGGGGGGGTGTCCCAGGCTCAGCAGGGTGGCAGGGCTGTCCCTCTGCCTTGCTGGGCAGTCCCTGGTGGTGGCTGGAAGGGGGACAGAGGTGACCCACTGGGGTGCTGCAGTTTTTTGAGCTGGGGGTGCCCAGGGAGTGTTTTTGGAGGTGGGGGATGAAGCTGGGGATGTTTTCTGGAGCTGGCCATGCCCAGGAGCTCTGAGCCCCTCCTTTGGTGCCCAGGAGCTCTGAGCCCCTCTCTTGCCCTGCTGGCCATGCCCAGGGGCTCTGAGCCCCTCCCTTGCCCTGCTGGCCGTGCCCAGGGGCTCTCAGCCCCTCCCTTGCCCCCCAGGTGCCCCCAGGAAGGAGGTTTATTTCATGGCCATCATCGACATCCTCACGCCCTACGACACCAAGAAGAAAGCTGCACACGCTGCCAAGACCGTGAAACACGGGGTGAGCCTGGCCTGGCCCGGGGGGCTCTGGGGCTTCTGCTCTGCACCATCTCCTTGGGGGGGCAGGGGTGGTGTCCCCTGGCTCTGCTTTCCCTGCCAGGCTGGGAATTGTGCAGTGCCTGGACTCAGCACAGCCCTCGGTGTCTCCTCAGGGTTGGGTTTTCCCTCTGGTCCCTTGGGATAATTTGTGTTTGTATCCCAATTTGGGAGGTGCTGGAGGGATGAACTGGCTGCAGGGTGACACCCCTGGGGTCACTGCTGTGTCCTGGGTGACACTTCTGGGGTCACCTCTGTGTCCTGGCAGCCATGGTGACACCCCTGGGGTCACCTCTGTGTTCTGGGTGACACTTCTGGGGTCACTGCTGTGTCCTGGCTGCAAGGTCACACCCCTGTGGTCACTCCTGTGTCTTGGGTGACACTCCTGGGCTCAGTCTTGTGTCCTGGCAGCCATGGTGACACCCCTGGGGCTACTCCTGTGTCCTGGCAGCCATGGTGACACCCCTGGGGCCACCCCGGGGTCACTCCGGTGCAATCGGGGCATTGCTGAGGTTGACAAGGACCTTTCAGGTGGAGTCCAGGCCAGGCAGCAGCACCGGGAGGGTTTGTGTGGAATCCTGGGATGTGCTGGGCTGGGAGGGACCCCTGGGGCTGGGGGTGCAGCTGCTGGCCCTGCACAGAGCCCTGGGGAGCTGCTCCAGTGAAAATCCTTGCCCTGAGTTCTGTGTGCTCCTAAACCTGTGAGGCACCAAGGAGCAAACCCAGCTGGACCTGCAGCTGGAGCTGAAATCATTTCCCTGGGGATCCCTCCAGGCCTGATGGGTTTTTCCTTAGCCGTGGATCCTCCCCAGCAGAGGGGCTGTGCCCCTGCCCTTCCCTGCCCTCCCTGACCCCTCCCTGTGCTCCCTGTCCCCTCCCTGTCCCCTCCTTGCCCTTCCCTGCCCACACTGACCCCTCCCTGCCTTCTCTGTCCTCTCCCTGTCCCCTCCCTGCCCACACTGTCCTCTTCCTGTCCCCTCCGTGTCCCCGCCCTGCCCTCCCTGTCCCCTCGCTGTCCCTTCCCTGTCCCTCTCTGCCCCTTCCTTGTCCCCTCCCTGCCCACGCTGACCCCTCTGTGTCCCCTCCCTGCCCACGCTGACCTCTCCCTTTGTCCTCTCTGTCCCCTCCTTGTCCCCTCTGTGTCCCCTCCCTGTCCCCTCCCTGCCTTCCCTGTCCTCTCCCTGTCCCTTCCCTGCCCACGCTGCCCCTTCTCTGTCCCCTCCCTGTCCCCTCCCTGCCTTCCCTGTCCTCTCCCTGCCCTCCTTGACCCCTTTTTTGTCCCCTCCGTGTCCCCTCCGTGTCCCCTCTGACCCGGTGTCTCTCTGCAGGCGGGGGCCGAGATCTCCACGGTGAATCCCGAGCAGTACTCGAAGCGTTTCAACGAGTTCATCTCCAGCATCCTGACATAGTGACATAGTGACAACAGTGACACAGTGCAGCCGAGCCCGGCGCCCCGCGGGGACACCGTGTGACAAAACCCATCCTCATCCTCGCTGCACCCTCGCACTGCCCTCGCTGCTGCCCCCGCCTGCACCGGGGGCGTTTTTATGTTACAGAAGTGCCCAGATTTCACTTTTGAGGGCTTTTCCACACAAGCCAAGTGCATTGTTTGCAGCACTGCTCTGCCCTGGGACGTTGTGTCCTCTCTGCTGAGGGGCTGTGACACGTGGCACTGTCCCCAAGGGGGGTCACAGTGCGAGGGGAGCAGTGCCTGATTCACAAACCACTCCTTGGTTTTGCTTTTTGGGTTTTTTTTTTGGTTTTTTTTTTGTTTTTTTTGGTGTCGTTGTTGTTGTTGTTTTATTGGACTGGCTTTGCCAGAAAAGACAAACAAACCCCTTTTATTTCCCTCTCGGTAGGAATTGGAAGGAAACAAACAAAAAAAAATAGCTCACCATTTCAAGGATGGAAAATATAACTCTGATAAAAGGAGGAGTCGCTGAACTTTAGGTAAATTCAGACTGGGACACTTTATATTTTTTGGTTAATTTAAGTAACGAAAAAAAAGGGAAAAAAAAAAAACTTTTTTGTAACTGCACTTGATTTACAAGAAAGATGAGGGAAATGAACATCTACCAAAGATGATCTCTGAAAAAAAAAAGAAGAAGAAAAAAAAAAGGTGTAACTCCTAAAACCTAAAAACAACCAGTGTGAGAAGTGAGAGAGGCATTGACCAACCTCAGCTCATGATGTGCTCGGGCCTGGGGTGATTTCAATTGGCCAGAGTTGAAGAAGTTCCTAAAATTCAAGAGTTCCTTAAAAAGAAAAGGAAAAAAGAAATAACATTTTCAAAAAAGGCATTTTTGTATCTGTAGATTTAAGATTTTTGGGCCATTCCCTCAGTCAGGAATGGCTCTGAGGTCACCATCACAGTCCTGCCAGTGTTAATTAGCTAATTAATTGTTCAGTCTTCCTTCCCCACCCCACCTGCAACAGGTACTTGAATCTGTGTCCTGACAGAGGTTCCTGGCTTGGTTTTATTTTTTTTAATTTTTTTTTTGGTGTTTTTTCTTGTTTCAAATGTGACTTGCACAGAAGGAATTGGCCTGGCTGCCCTTGGGGAGTGCTGGGGCTGCTCCCGACCCCCTCTGAACCCTCCAGGAGTGCACAAGGTCCAGACTCTGGCACCAGATTTCTTTTCCAGCCCCTCCCGAAGGATTTTGGGGACTGCTTGGAGTGACCGAAAATGTCCTGGTTTGTCTCCAGAACGCTTTTAACCCTTTCACAGCCAAGCTGGGCAGACTCGCTGTGGGTTCCATTAGCTCTGCTGCACAAGTTACAGAACTTTGGGTTCTTTGTTTTTTGCCATTTGTTTGTTGTTCGTGGGTTGTTTTTTTTGGTTTTTTTTTTTGTTGTTGTCGTTGTTTTTAATTTCCTCTCTCTCTTTTTAAGCAGGATTTAGAGTTTTGAACAAACCTCTTTGCAGTTGAAACATGTTGCTTAATCTGCCTTGGAACTGTTTTTCACACATGCCTTTGTTTGGGGAATAAGCTGTTGGGAATGTCTGTCCTGTGCTGTAACAGTTTTTTGCTGTGTGGAATTTTGGTCCTTTTTTTCAGAGATAACTGGTGCTCATCACATCCTGGTAATTCCCCCTAAATTAATTAACCCTGCCTCTGGGCTGGATTCTCAATGTGGGGCTTGTGGGGTTGGTTTTTTATTTGTGGTTTTTTTTTTTTTTTTGGTTTTTATTTCCTCTTCACCCCCCTCCCCATTTTCTATTTGTGATGTGAATTCCCCCCACAGGCCTCACCTTGGGAGGGGCTAAAATTGGAGCCCCTTGAGAGTGCACTGTAAATAGAGTTTTGGAGAAATGAAAAATTAGGGGTCCTGATGGGATTTTGGTCATTCCCTTTGGTGTGGGACAAATTTCTGCTGCCCCTGTGGTGTGGGAGGCTGGAGGTGTCTTAAGGTGTGGAGCTGGAAAAGCCACGACCCAAATGCAGCTAAAAAATATTTTAAAAAAAGAATGAAAAAAAAAAAAAAAAAGGGAGGACTTGGAGAGCATCATCAGCTTCATTTTGTGGGCATTATATTGGTTGCTTGTCTCTTAATAAGCACTTAAGTTTACTGCTAATTAGGAATTAAAAACCAATCATTTTTTATTCCTGACAGTTTAAAAAAAAAAAAAATCTGCATTGAATCTGCAACTTTGGTAAGTTTGCCCTTCTCCTTTTGGGGAAAGTAGCTTGGAAGTTGTTTTATCTTGAAATCATCTATTAAAAAAAAATAAATAAATGAAGGGGAGAAAAAGGGGAAAGGAAGAGAGCAGGAGGTGGGTGAACACCACAAAGCAAAGAAAGGGGAGTGAAGATGGCAAAAATCTCCTTTCCTGAATATTCCAGAATAATGAATAAAGAATCCAATCAAAACCCAGGGAATTCCTGCAGAAATCCTTACAGAGTTGGGACAAAAAGGGCTTGTGAGCAGGGAATATTTTCTTATTTCCTGGGATTCAATTTAGTTTTTTGAGGTGATTTGGGGAGCCCCACAAAAAATTTTTCCCTTTAGCACTGCCCCAGTTCTGCCCAGTTGCCATTTTATGTATGAAAGTGATTAAATGCAATTTCCTCACCTGATGATGTGTTACCCAGGTATGTAACTTCGTTTGACACAGGTGGTTTTGTTTATTGTTTACATTTGGAGAAGTAGCATTACCTTAAAAATGCGAATTTTTTTTTTTTTTTTTT